GAAATGACATGTGCTTACATTATTATATAATATGTATATATGTATGCATATATAATTATATATATATAATTATATATATATATATATATATATATATATATATATAAGAGCAAGAAACATGAATCGAATGTATATAGATGCCGCCACGTATTTGTTTTATTATACATTATAGGCCTATAATGTACATAATCAAATATTATATATATATATATATATATATTAATATATATACTATTCATATTAAATTATATAGGCATATCACTATAAGTATCATAACAATAAATAGTAATTACATGACAAGTCAAACAATACTATTGAACCTTTGTATGTGTACAAAAAAATCTGACAAGGAATGTGAAAAACTCAATTAAGACTCAAACACGGGACCAATAGTACTAATGTTACATTGTTGACGTTACTAGTAGGGCTCTAGTCAAATATACTATATTATTATTATTGATAATTGTTTACGCACGCGTAATTTTAACTGCCTTAATGAATATGCAAATAATTAGCACAATATGAAATTACCCTTATATTACATAGGCCTATTAGTGATTAGTTCAAAATTTACCATTTTAATGTATTTTGAGGTTGGTTGGTTAGTTAGAGGATTAACGTTGGCGTCGGCCCTCGCTTCCGACGCCTACACCCTTGTATTTATTGCCACTGTTTGCACACATTCATCAATGAGTATTTCGAACAAAATATGATGAGATGTTTTAGAAGTAGAGGTATACGTGTTAGAGGGCGGTGTTGTAATTATTGTTTACCATAACATGTTTTTTTTTTTAATAATTGGATTATCAGTTAAAACCAGATGAAACTATTTGATCATAACATTTTGGGTAACCTTAACCTTAGCCTAGAATAGTAATAATAAAAATAATAATAATAAACATTTAGGCCTATATACCACACGAGTCGTTGGATTTCAAAGTGAAACAACAATAATAACTATTTATATTCAAATAATGACAATTTTCTAATTTATCTTCGTAAAGGTACACGTTCATGGTTGGTTGAATAATTATATTTCGGTCATGCATTCATTCCTTAATTCTAGTAAACACAGTAATACCTAATATAGGCCTACAAATATTGACTGTTCATAAGTGGAACGGAGAAAATCGACTGCCCCGAGGTGATGCGGAGACTGTATTCCCGAAGGTGTTTCCGGTGCGCTGAACGACAGCCTCCCTATTCTTAAAAACTGTTCGATTTTCTGATCGGTTCGGTAGACCTTCCGATCCGGCAACGCGGATTCGGTGTGAATGAGGCTCGCTCACCGGGAGCGACCATAAAATCAAATCAGAGTGTAAAGCTGGTTTCCATACAATTGCTCATACACGTTATCGCCGACAGCTTTCGGTGATGCCGATTGGTCGATCGAATCGGGAAGCCTTCCCGATTGCGTTGGCTGACTGCCACGCAGTACAACGATTGCACGGAAAACACTATAGTGAGTTAAAGCAAAGAGTAGGAAACTGCAAGAGGTCCGACTGCCGGGGATTCTTTGGAACGCAATCCTATTTCAAAAAGTACTACCCAAAAGGGGCGTGGCCTTTAAAAGATCGTAAAGTGCGTTCATATCGAACGCGTGCTGTGCGTCTATAGAATGTACGCTGGAATTCGAAACGCAGCACGCGTTCGATACGAACGCCTTTTACGTTCTAATGAAGGACACGCCCCTTCGTGGGAGCACTTTTTAACGTTCCATTGCCTGTATACAAAATAAGGGCAGTCGGACCTCTTGCAGTTTTATACTCTTTGGTTAAGGAAACCATGGCTGATAGAATAGCTGGGACGCATGGCGTTTAGCGCACCGGATACGCGGTCCGTTTCGGTTCGTATCCAAGGTGAATGCAGCTTAAAACTTCAACAAGCAATAGTTGAAAAAAAATGGAATGACAATCCATAGAATTATGTAGTAGTAGTAGTAGCCACACAGGTAAACAGTGGACGAGAAACAGTAAAATCGAACACTGAGCATGGGAACAATTTTACTGGTTCTTAAAAAAGTGTACATCAAGTAGGAGCAATTTCATGGAATTTGGAAACCTTCTCAACTGTATTCCAATGTAATTTTCGGTGCTGTTTGTCTTTCGAATCATGTAGGCCATAACCAAGCGACTTTACCTAATCCTCTAAAATATGAATATTTTTTCTTATCAACTTTTAAACAATGATTGTCACCATGAAATGCCAACTAATACTACACAAACATTTCAATAAAAATGAAAGAAAAATGCCGTTTCCTGGTGCACCGACAGGGATTCCGTTAATGTTTGTTTATTGCTTTAGTGACGTTTACACAGTGGAAATGATACGACTCCTTTCGTTCATATCGATATATTTATTACTGAGGCATAATCTCGATAAATCGTTGACATAAATTGGTTTTAATTTATCAAGTTCGCTAATGGATACGAGTATCCAGCCTGATGAGGTTGGAGCAGGCTGGATTGGAAATCTTTCAAATGTGCTTACTTTCGATTGTACAACGCTGGTGTTATGTTAACATTTAATTCAGTTTGATTAACTGATGATCTCGAAGGCTATCCCGAAAGCTGATAGAATCATTGCGTTGAATTTAACTCACTTAATAGCGCTTACAGTGTGATGGCCGATGTAGGAAAAAAATGATTAAGTCTACAGACCATTTTTATAATACTTTATACCGGGGTATGCATATATACTAGGCCTATTTACCCTAAATTAAAAAAAAAAAAAAAAAAAAAAAAAATTACAAAAATAATGTAGTATCATCTGTTTTATAATAAGTGAATTTGTTTCTCTATACTAACGTTTTCATGTTTTAAACGTTTAAAACGTTTTAAACGTTTTAAACGTTTAAACGTTTGTTTAACGTTTTCATGTTTTGCCTATTTATCTTTATTCCTTGCATATTACGCAATACTTTGAGGAGTGTACTAAAGCAGGAATCCAAAGGATTTTACTGCACCAATTCTGACTTAGAGCTCAGTTTTTAGAGCTTCCGAAAGGTAATCCAGGGAGGGGGTCTTGAGTAAAAATATGGTATACGGTGTAGACATTAAATTAATTCTTTGGAGGGTGATTCTCCATACCAAGGTTACTTTCGTACGTGTAAGATATCTAAAATAATTAAGTAAATTATCTATCAAAACATGCTACTAATAGGGCCTATCACCTCATTTCCACCTAGAATTCACTCACATTCACATCGGTCCCCAGGCCACTCCCAGGTAGGCACCCATACGCCACCACTGGTTAGGCAATTACCGAAAGATTGACGTTGGGTTTATCGGCCTATCCTAGATAACAATTTTACGTACCGGTAATAATCATTCTAGTTTGATAAATACGTATTTATAACGTAATTTCTTAATAAATAACGTTGCTGCAACGTCGCTTTAACGATATTTTGTGTTACAACCTAACTACGACATTCACAATCGTCCTTTCCCCAAATTAACAACTGTGTCACATGGGATCCACTGTTTATTCCATCTACGTCTTTTCCACAAGATGGTACACGTAATAACTTCCGTAGTAATTCGAATAAACGCCCCCTCTAGAGCCTCATTTGGAATATTTGCCCCGATTTATTTTCTCGAATAAACGCCCCCTAAATGACTGTAAACAAATCTAATGGAAGCAACATCATGTTCAACACATTCTATCAATGTTCTATTCCAGTTGAATTAGGCCTACATGTTTTCTAACCTGGTTGGGATCAATAACACATTTGACTGTGTGGCAGTGCCACATAAGTGAGCGTATATTTGAGTATATACGTATCCATTTTTTTACACCAAAATAAATAAAATAAATGACTGCTTCGAATAAGCGCCTCCCTCGAATAAACGCCTCCTCAAAAACCCTTCTTAACAATAAACATTCCAGGGCGTTTATTCGAATAAAATACGGTAAATCAAGGAGCAGTGATGGAACTGAAGACGGGACCAAATGGTTTCCCTTTTTTCAGTGCTCACACACGTAAGATCTTTGATGCCAGCTGAAATCAACTGAATGTGAACATTCAAATTAGATAACAGATGCAATGAACCAATAATGATATATCCTCTATCACAGGTTATCATTAAACACTTGACTATTAATGAAGTATAACATCAAATATATTTCTCTCACGGGCCTACCATGATTTTGAGTGCATTGTAAAGTATAGCGCCCTCTATCTTGAAAAGGTGATACAGTCGATGTCAATTATAATGGCGATAATATTATTCCATAACAAGTTTAAATTTTCAGGAGTGAACACGTTATAATGTACGATACATCCCAATACATCCTCAGCGGGACACATTATACCTCTACGGTCCGTTTTAGTTTGTCTTAGCATGCCAGAGAAATAGACAAGTGCCCCGAGCGATTCGCTAAATACCGTACACAAACTTACTTTCAAATGCCATTGGAATATTAAACACGGGGACACTGTCCAGTACCTCATTGTAAATATTTCTAAAAGCGTTCACGTGGAAAGAATTTCAAATACTTACATTTTAATCTGTTTTAAAAAAGGGAACACAAACGTAACCCGTAATGCCGTAATCAGGGACGGATCTAGAGATATCCGAAAGGATGGGGCCGATCAAGGGCCAACATACACTACCCTAGGGATCCAGTGACATCCCCTCAGGATGTTGTAGATGGCTTGAAATAACCTCTGAGCCGTTTTAAGCGATCAATATTTTTGTTTTTGTTTATTAACTTTCCAATTGGGGAGGCCGGAGCCGGCCCGGTCCACTCTAAATCCGCGCTGGTCACAATGTGTATTCTTCCCGAATATTTAGAGCCATGCGCGCACGCCCCTTTTTTATACCAGATTCTTAACATTGTCATTCGCTGCACGGGCCTATTCATCTCAAATGGGTATGTATAGGCCTATTCAGAATTAACGGTGTTAAGCATTAGTGATCGGGGATCACTGGGGATTCGAAGGGTATCAAAAGAAGTAAACACAGAATGTAACAAAATAATATAAAACAACTGCCTACCTGCTGGAATGTATGAAAATTCATCGTAGGAAAGTGTCGATTATTCATCAGTACTATTAGTCTCTACACATCCGTCTGCAATTGGTACCGAGATGGGGCGATCAACGACCTCCCTGCTTTCGACAGTCTTAACAAAATGACCTTTCTACTCGCAGTCTTCCTGCAACTAAAATACAGTCTACAATTAATTGTAAAAAAAAAGTCGCCGAGGTGAATAAAATGTGTGGGGGTGTAAGAAGGGAGAGCAAACACTACTAAATAAACTTTACTGTTTATATTGAGAGGAGAGTCTAGATAATATAACACCACGAAAATACCAGTGTTTTCGGAAGTTACCTGGGAATTACCGTCATGTATTGTGTTTGTGCGAAACGTTTTTCTACGCAATTTATCAAATTTCATGCCTAGTTCACTCATTCATTTTCTCGTCTACACACTGACATAACAAGCAATCGCGTAGTTTATGCCCCAATTGGCAGATGGATCGCCAAAATCAGATTTATGATTAGGAAAAAAATGACAAGCTATAAATAGGTCTAACTTTTTATTTGGCTTCCGTGGTCACGGTCTTGTGGCTTTAGGTTTAAGCACACCTCTTTCACATCTGTCATGCCAAGTCAGTTTGGTTCAGTAACGTTTGTGCTTTATAATTGTTTACACTTTTATTCTTACAATACCGGTAATTATTATAAATATTATTATCATTATTCAAAATTATCATTTCCAATTATCATTATTATCATTAACTTGTTGATTTTTTCTGTTTTGTATCTTTTATTTAATGTAAGCCTATCCAAAAATATGTGTACTAAGCACGTGTTGTGTTGTTTTCCTACTCTATCACTTCCTTTTTTCTTTTCTTTTAACCACTTTTCTGTTTCAACCATTATTCATGCTGTTTTTTTCTTTTTCTATTGTTCTATATATGTTATATGCGCTATACAAGTGCACAACCATTGAACTTTGACCAATATAACGATTTTTTCCCTGTTATATTAAAGTGTAGTGCCTTAATCCTAACAAATGTATTACTTATTTATTATGATTATCCACTACACTTGACTCCATAAGTTTCCTAAGGTCATAATCATTTAATTGTGTAATAGAAATTTGTTAATTGACATTCATATAGACAAAAATTAATACTACCGGTAATGGTATGCCTGTTACAAATACATTAGGCTTGTTTATAAAGGCATCGTATTACATAATGGGGCGACTACTTAATAAAACAATTTCATATTTTCCTATAACAGTGTTACCTGCCGGGAATAGGCCTACATGGAACACATAACAGTATATGCTCCTGGTGATCTTCACATATGTTATCAGTAAACAATGTATAATATTAGATTATTAATTGAGGAACACTAGACTAGAGGTCCTGGCTATACACACCAGGGAACTGGCTTCTTTTGTGCCGGGCCATTAGTTGAAAGTGTACAGTAAAGTAGAGATAGTGACGTCACGTATGATCGCGTAGAAGTTGCTGACCGAAGCTCAGAGAGTTGGAAATAATAGTAGAAAGTAGTTCGTTTAGAAGAACCAGGTTGGAGACAATAATTGTGATAATTACGTTCCCTGATTGGATAGATCTAAAATAGTTGACATGGCTACATCAGACTCAGACGTTCATGAAATTGCGATAGTAGTAATTAGCGGCACATGAATTGGCAAGGGAGTTGTGAATCGCCGACGTAGGTGCTGTCGTAGAGCACGTTATTTTGATACGTTAGGCAAAATGCATTTTAAGTAGGTTTAGCAAATATTGTGATAGCGACCGTATGAAGCACTGGATGACGGTAAAGCAACATCATCAACAGGCCTACTTTGTCAGTCTTTACAGCCCAACACCTTCTGCACTGACAACAACAATTAGGTACCAGCATGAACTTTGACCCAAATATTCACCTATGAATCATATAGGCCTACTATCGAAATCAAATATTTCTTAATTATCGAAAAAGTAAGTCAAATACCAAAGTGTGACGTGTGTCACAACTCAAAACAGTTTCACGCTATAAGTCCCGCGAAATAGCATTAGTACAGCCTCATTTCAATTTCTAAAATAGGTTAAAACAAATATATAGAAAATAAACTATTGTTTTTTTCATTCTAGAACCCACATGTACCAGTAAAAGTTCAAACAATTCATTGATTTCGAATTGTTTATCAAAACAGAGGAAAGGTGGAACATAAGGTACTTATTTTGCACCTACTCGTTTATTCTTTACATTAAAAAAAGATAACGGTATTCATGCGCTGTATATTACATGCTAAAGTTCATCACACATTTTATTATCTCATAGGAGCTTCATGAATGGTTGAAAGTCGTACTGATTAATGTACAGAGCCGTAGATAGAGAGAGTTTGGCCAACTTGGCGCATGGGCGCCATGTTGTCACCAAACAGCGTGCGCGCGTATAGCTTTTTGGATCGATTGCAGCAATCCCAAACCCAACATAACGGTATTTCACATTATATAGCATTAATCATCTATAATAATAACTGCTAACCTCCTACCCTATCGCGTTGTTTTGTTTTGGTGACAACATGGCCGGTGTAAGTCACGTGATTGAAACCGAGTTGGCCAAACTCTCTCTATCTACGGCTCTGTTAATGTAAACAATACAGCGCCCTCTATAATACACAGGTCAGTCATGTTAAAATTTCCAAGCATAAACTCATTGGTCAACGTCTTTTTTCTGCCTATATAGCCCGAAAAGTTTTCTAAGCATTCAAGATAGCAACTGTCTTAAATATTTTAAATCAGGCAGACCGTGGAGGTACAATGTAGTACATTGGTCTAATTATACCTCAATAAGCAGATCAGTACGCGTATATTTTTTAAGGAAAAACTTTCTTTGGCATAGAATTACGGTTCCAAGCCAAAAGTCAACCATGCACTAAAGCTATGGGTCAAGGGTCAAATACTGTCCATTCCACTGCCTATATGGTGAAATTCAACAAAGTTAATTTTTCTGGAAGAGTTTACAGGTGTATAAATCGGTAGCACTCGTGTTCCACGAAAGGACATTGACCGTTCTGTACGATCATGAATTGAGTGCGTGTTCTATAATACTTGTATATGAAAAGCCGATTTATGTTTTTGTATGATATTCCTAATTATTATGATTAATCAATAGCATAGAATATATTACTACTTGCTTTACAGAATGGGTTTGTTTATAAATAAACAAAATTATAATTAGGTCATACAAGCGTTTCACAAACATTAAGCTTTAAGTAGAATTTGTAGTACTCTAAATAAATATGAGTAAATAAGATCTATCTGAGCCGTATTGTCACGCAATTAACAATCAGTCTAATCAATTACCCGATCGATTATTCGTTCGTTCGATCATCTAATCAACTAATAAACCAAGCCAATTAATCTATCAATCAATTAATTAATCAATCTGTTAATCAATCAATCAATCAATCAATCGATAATCAATTAATCACCCAACCAACTGAGCTTGGCGGTTGAGATGTTTGCTGCGTGCTTGGTTTAAATAAGAAATCTCGTCATCTCTTAAAATTTTGTAGGTAAAGTCTGCTTTAATATGATTAATTGTGCATTGACGAAAAAGAATGCAGACTTAATACTTGTTAAAATGGAGGTGACGAGATATTGGTCAAAATTATAATTATTAGGCCTACTTGCTTCTAAATATATACATAAAAGATAAACAGCAGCAATATATTATAGGCAGTAGAAAGAAAACCAAATATGGGTTCATTCTCGACTTACCCTATTTGTATTGTCTGTCGTATTCTAAAACACAGCTTTTACAAAACAGGCCTACCCGTGTAAGATGGAGGAAGTAGCAATGTTTACACTGCTCAATTTCTACGAAAACATGGGGTTTGCATAGCTCGGATGGCAATGTTTTAAATACTGGATTTCCATGAAATTGTTAACATGTGTTGTCTAGTAAGAGAATAATAATGCGTTCAATATTAAGCGCCAACATGCCGAGGTATTGGTAGCAGCAGTCGAGGTGCTGTACCTGGGGAAGTCCTCACCCTTGCCACCTCCGATGCAGCTGTGGCTCCAGAATTTGCCGATAGGGTGTCCGAAATGTTCGACGGGGGAGGTCTGAAACAAGGGGCCGACTAGAGCCTCGGTCAGGGTCCCGGAATAAAGAAATCCCTGGTAAGGACTTTCATGGATTTGTATATGGCCCAAATTTCGATTTATTTTTTTTTTTGGATCAGAATATGGGATTGGCAATCAAAGTTTCAAAATAACGGTATTTGGATAGGAAAAATATTATTTTTGAACCGACGACCTCGTCGTGGCGTTGGAGGACGGGGGTCCAGGCAGCGGTGGCGCTAGACATTTGTCGACGAGGGGTCCGACGTGTCCAACGGAGGGGTCCGAGCCAAAGGGTCGACGAAGCCTCGGTCGAGGGGCTGGAATAAAAATCATTTGATAGTGTTCATGGGGATTGTTGTTATGGCTCGGTATGGTCCAAAAGGTGTTTTTAGACCACAATAGTAGGCGATCAAAATAACGTTATTTGGATAGGAAATATATTTTTTTTATTTTCGATCCCACGACCTGGCCGTTCATCGGACGACAAGGGGACCAGGCCTGTCCGCGGGGGGGGGGGGGGAGAGGATGCCCACTCTGCCCCCACCCCCTGCTAGCGCCACCGCTGTGTCTAGGTTTATCCGACGAAGTGGAGGAATTTCCCCCACCCCCTGTCACATCTGTTATCGTGAGCTTTGACGTCGTCGTGAATTTTCAAGCCCATATCTAATCCTATGTCTGTTAAAAATCGAAACACCCTAAGCTGCTCTACATTATTGATTGCACCACAGTAGGGTTGTTGTGAGAAGGGGCTGAATCGTGGGGAAGGACTCACCCCTCCGATGGAGTATTTATTTACGCAGTCAAACGTATCAATGAACATAATAATTATTGGGCCATAAACTGGGTAGGCAGAGGAAGGTATGATAATACAGCCACACAATCATTGACGGTCACATTTCATGGTTTGGCCTATTCTGTGGGAGAACAATTCGCAGGCCCGTATACCCACTTTAAAATTTTACGTTATAATGACGATATAATTACGTTACAGTTTGGTGTTCAAAACGATTTTTAGAACCATAAATACAATAATCAAATTAAACCTAAAAATAATCAATTAAAATACATTTTTAAAATAAAAAAAAATAACTTTTAGAGTTAGAATTCTCCAGGTTTATTTGGCTCGTACACCTAAATAGGTTAGTAAGCCTATATTCTGATTGATGTTCAATGGTACTGGGTTAGGTACCTGCGCGATACGTCACGTCGTGCAGAGAGTATTACAACTCAGGAATACAAATTTCATGTATTTTATGATTGATGAATAAATCTGAATCTGAATCTGAGTATGGCGGGATATGCGTGTGTGGGTGTGTTTTGGGGTGTGTGGAAATTGATAACGTCCAGGTTAGTCCAGATTAACTGATTTTAATTCAAACGGATATAAGAACCACATATCTCTTCAAACGGATATCTGTAGCCCATCCTGTGCTTTGTGGTCCGTCGCTATCACTCCAATTACCAGGCCTAAATAGTTAATACACTACTTAAAGATCGTAACTTAACCATTCAAGATATAAAATATATCTCTAAAAATAACAAAATAGCCAGTGTTCTCAAAGAAAGCTGGCAAAAAACGTCAGCTAAATAGACCAAGAACACATATTGCAGATGTTCAATCGACAATTGACTTGAAATACATTGCTAATCTTGTTGCTTTTAGGCTTGCAAAACAACATACTCGTACTGTATTCCGGAATAAAACACATTCATTGAGTTTATATAACGTATTCTGGTTATTCTACAGTGAGATAGAATAATGACTGCTATTTGGCCTACTAATTATCACAGCGCGAGTTCTTATGTAAAGCGCTTTAAAAAATTACATTACTGGCCCGGGATGTATCAATCTCAGCTTAGTAAATGTCTTAAGTCAATAAAGTTAAGATGTCCTAAGAAAATAACTTAAGCTGATTTATTAGCCATTTCACACAAAATCTTAGCTTAAAAATCAACTTAGATGGCACATTCGTACAATCGAGTTTTTAATTTAAAGCAATTTTAGGCTAAGCAATATTGATAAATCTTACTTAAGTAAAAAGTGGACTTTAAGCTGATTTCTAGTTAGTAGTTAGATATATCCGGACCATGTTCTATATGTTAAACTGATATAATAATAATATAAATAATTAGTTAGTAGGCCTACGTAATTATTAAGCAAAAATAATCCAATATTAGACTAAATAATATGAACACGTTTTCTCCCCTTGGAATTTTGCAGGGCCGTCTATGTGTTTTTACTATCACGAGACAACCGATAAAAACGGTTGTTTAAATAATATTACTCAAATAAAATAAGACATGATTCTAAATATTTTACCAATGCGACCCAATAAAGCTTGAAACGCTGAGAAACACGACCTCTTTATCTATATTATGAATTATTTATCTGAATTCGCCTAGGTCTACAAGTTGGTATTGCATAAAACATACGATAGTCTCTGTACCGTATACATTCTATTTAGGCCTAGACCCCACTATTAATTTTGTTTGAAAGAGTTGCCAGAGCTTGGGTATCTGGGGCGGATGCAGGAATTGGCGGTAGGGAGTGCATGAGAGTCGACAACACCATGGTTGGGGCTGAGGTGTGAACATTTTAAGAATATGGAATTTGCACTCTCATACCTTAAAAATATTACCGGTAATTCATATCAGCAATATAATACAACAATTATTTTTCTTAGTATAATTTAGGGGGGGGGGTGCGATCGCACCGTTTGCACCCCCTGCATCCGCACAAGGGTACAGCCTATACTAAATAATGGGGACTGTATATTAAACAATTGCAAACGTTATAATATCAAATAATAACAGTCCACATGAACGAAACAATGAAAATACATAGCCTGGAATATAAAATTATTATAGACTCACCTTGGTTTTACACTAGTATAGACGTACACGTGTGATCTGGTCTGCTTTGAAGGTGTATTACCGGTTTCTGTTTCCTGCTCTCAAGGGCGCAATGCACGAATAAGCTTCTAACGTATTATGCTCTAGTGCCTGAGATCCGCTGACTGAGTCCAATGCGCCTTGGCAGCAGCCTAAAAATCGTGCTTAACTTCTGCTTACAATCGGCCAGAGAAGTGAGTTTCACAGGAGTTGCATATATCAAGTGATTGCTTGCCGATGATAGGTCAGTATTTCTCACACAGGTTCACGCGAGTAACTCTTTAAACGCCCGAGCGTTGATACTCAGTGTAACCAACTAACACGGTGGGAAGAAATAAGGCACGGCTTCCGACAGCGTTACTCCGCGATGGGAGTGCCCGAGCTGATATACAAACTAGCTAATTGATAACTTCCGATTGAAAATCAGGAGATTTGGCCTATTTATCATCTCGGGTGAAAACGGATTTATGTTCTTAAACATAATAATTATAGCTTTTTTTAATATCTGTTATTGTTTTCTTCTTTTTCAGCCTGAATATTAGGCCTATACTTTTCAGCCAAGCAAGGGTATATCGAACAAATATGGGCCTAAATTTTGATCATTTCATCGTCAGTAATCTTTCAACATCCTCATCCTCACCTTCATCCTCATCATCACCGCCATTGCAATATCATTTTCACCGTCACCATCATCATCATCATCATCATCATCATCACCATTACCACCACCACCATCATCATTCTCCTCTTCATCATCATCATCACCACCAATCATCATTGACATAATCGTTTTCATCGACATCATCATCATCATCATCATCATCATCATCATCATCATCATCATCATCATCATCATCATCATCATCATATTCATAATTAATCAACAGCATTATCATTATGTCTGTTACTAGTAGTGATGTAAATCCTACGTAAATGAATTTGGGTATTTCATATTCAGTTATAGACACTCAAATTGGTGAAATAGCGTGGGAATCGTTATTTGTGTGTTTGTTTGCGTCGCGGACGCATTACCAATAACGTACTCACATGGAGAGAGGGTCCAATGTAGACATAGTGTCTTGCCCAAGGACACAAGCGCCTGCACTGTGAGGACCCGACCCCCGAGCAGAGTAGGTTCAATGATTATACGATATAATACCAGACAGCGAAACAATATTGATTGAATATTTTTATGGTTATTAAAACATCATCAGAAATCCCTGATTATTTTATTAATAAAGAAATATTAAATCGATATGACCGTCATAAACAAATTAAATCAAAACCAGGAATCTCTAGTTATATCAAAACATCGTGGGAAAAAATTGTAGAAACAACGAGTGACTTGCCATGCAGTGAAAAAAAAATATTTGAAAACAGCTAGACACTGATATTGAGTTGGCTTAATAGACTTCCAGTTCAATATCAGCATAATTTTTGTTAATATCGATTTTAAAAAGAAAAGTCACCAGTTTCAATACAATACAGATCATGTTTCAATGTTAAAAATGACTAAAATAGGCCATACAGCTGTTTTCTAATATTATATGTACGAAAAAAGTTAGTGTACTTTAATATATCGATGTTTATGTTAGTTTAAAAACTCCTGTCGGAAGTCCTTTATTCTCGAAAATTCCCCTCCCCCGCCCCTCTAATTAAATTCGGATCTCTCGGTATAGTAACATACATTTTATCATATTGAACTGTCCAGGCTATCATTTTTTTTCGACAAAAAACTATTTTATGCCCATATATAGGCATGATGCATTTGCAAGTTCATTAGAAAAATATATATTTAACGAGGGTGATGCATGACATAAACCTAATCATTTGCATTCTCGATATAATCAATCTCTTGATATTGGAGTGTTTTGGTTATAACATGATTTAAAGCCAACATTTCCGAGGTTTTTATGCTCGCCAAGACGCCCAACTTCACCTCACCCTATGAATAACCTGTGTAGCCGGGCAAAGCCCCTTTTGGATGGTTACTTTCCGCTTGTATTGAAGTTCTTCTGTTCCTAAACTAAAGTAGTGCTACTCTAGTAGTAGTAGTAGTAGTAGTCGATCAAAAGACATTCCAACTGGCAACAGAGAATGCGTCGTCTAGTACTAGTTAGTCACGCTTGACTGAACACTGACTATGGATCAACACTTGACAACGCTTGACTAACTGTTGATTAACGCTTGACTAACGATTGGCTTTTAAATATTGTGTCACTTTCCACTTTAATTTTTTAATATTATTATATTTAGGCATACATTCCGTACATACGTCTACACTTGTCTTCAATGGATTAAAAACAGATTGTGTAAAACCTGGTAACCCCTCAAAATTTCGTTGATAAACACTTCAAATTTCCAATGAAGCAAAGAAAATAGTTTTCGTTTTGTTAGATGAGGGAGGCGGGGGTCACTCGATGGTTATGTGAGGGGCGCTAGGTCGCAAAAAAAGGTGATATGAGCCACTAGTCTGCGGAAATCGAGATTCAATCGGTGTGTTAATAGGCAAGGAAAACAATCGCGAATGTTACATTCCCGTTTTGCTGGGTAACTTACGGTATGGTACGGTACGGTACTTATTCGAATTGAATAAACGCCCCATCCAATAAACTCTCCCATATACGTTCTACTCCAGTTGAATTACATTTTTTCTAACCTGGTTGGGATCAATAAGTCTTTATGATCACGTAATAACACATTTTCACGGTAATTGTGTGTTGTAGCTCCACGTTTAAATTTACAGTGACATTATGATGCGTTTATTTGAGCGTACGTTTCCATTTTACACCCCCAAAAACACGTCTCTCGAATAAACGCACCTAAAATTTCCTTCTCAATAATAAACGCCCCGAGCGTTAATTCGAACAAATACAGTATTAAAAATAAGCAATTCAAATATTGAATTTTATTTTGAATTGAACTCAGCTAAACACCGACAGTACATTTTTAAATACCAAATAAAAAATGATATATAGTCAAATAAAACTTATAATCCAACGTAAACGCTTTGAGTCACAAGAATTATCTAAATCAAAATCCTCTGTCAAATCAAAGATTGACTTACCATGAAGGTATCACCTCTAAGGTCACTGGGGGTTGAGTAGGGTCGGTATATGTCGAGTTATCATCTGATGGGATGGTACGATCTTATGAAATCAATTTACTGTTTCCTCTCATTGGCAACGCGACACGTCAATTGTATGCAAATGAAATCATCAGGGTAGGCCTAACCATGAACTTGAACTACCCCAGGTCTTGGAGTTGTTGAATTACCAAACTTAAAAAAAAAAGAAAAGAGAAGAAAAACCATATCAAATGGTTAAATAATACTAATACCAAGATTCAAGATTCCAGATTCAAGATTCAAAACTTTATTCATTGTCAGTAAGGAAATTTCATTTCTCGCATCGGAACAGAACAGTAGATAAAATGCAAGAAGAAAGTTAAAAATCAACGCAAGACCGTTAAAGTGACAGAAGAATGCTATCCTGAATTTACGTCAGGTGCGCCTAAACTAACCCCTAGGCCTACGTCTTCATGCCATTGTTGCACATATACCTTCAAACTTGCGCACACTACATTGGGGCCGTGGGGAAAGCCAAGATTCCATAACATTGCTACACGCTATCGTTGAAAGCCTTAGGTAAAGCTGATTAGTCCGTCAGATAGGAGCGCTTCCTGACTGCGTCAGGCACAGCTGCTGTGTACAAATTGCGGTAACATTGTAGCGATTTTATGGTAACTTGACCGCACGTTGACTAATATTGCTGCTAAAGGTGTTCGTCCATAAACATTCAATAAAACAATCAATCATTTACAGTAATCGGGTCAAATAAAGTTTTAACTTTTAGCCAACGAAACAGTGCGAAACAATTATTTTTTTTGCTGATTTACTCAGTTATTTTACTACAAAAAAGTTTCTTAAAAGTTGACTCACTTTACGCAAAAACATGAAAAAATCTGAACCCATTTTCTTAAAATCTTACCAATTTTAGGCTAAATATGAGAATCCTGGACCAATTGTTCAAAAAAGTAGACTCATTTTATGCATGAAATTGCATAATTTTGGCCCATTTTAAAAAAATGTGGACCCATTCTTTGTGGACCCATTAGAAAAATTGTGTGGGACTATCCTAACTGTTCCAATAGCTGGCTCGGCAACTTAGTTAAATATGGTTCAAACGTATATTAAAATATTCAAAAATGTATATGGTCAAAACAGAGTATTTATATTTGGATTTCATTTCGTTTCATTTCATTTATTTAATTACTTACATGCGAGATACACCAATGGTAGGCCTAACCCAATGAAGTCAGAAGGCAGCCGAAATAAATTATGTCGATCAAAATAAAAACATTCAAGGCACACGTAGCATTTCGGTACATATTCAAAATGACTGCAGAACATTAAAATAACACCCAGGTGGTACTCGTTTATACCCCAGGACGAGTGCAAGGGTCAGAGAAAAGCACTCGGCACCTGACACGAGTTAGTGACCCTATGATCTGTCTCTTATACACATCTAGATGTGTATAAGAGACAGGTGTACATCACCTCAGCTCCAACATGGTTGGGGCTGAGGCGCGAAAATTTTGAGAATATCGAGCTCTGGGTGCCTGACACATTAGGGGCCTATTGTGCTGTCTCTTATACACATCTAGATGTGTATAAGAGACAGGTATATACATCATCATATACTAGAGATAAACTAAATCTTCTTGCGGTAAAGCTATAAATATATATAGGCCTAAATAAATGTTACCGGTACATGTTAAAGAAGAGGACTCTGTGAGTGTGAAAAAACAGGTACCTCGACCGGCATTTGAACCCGGGACTTTCTGCTGTCTATGCAGATATAGGCCTACATGAGCACTGTTTCTATCATTTACCTATTTGCTTATAGTGTATATTTACACTTCATTATATATGATAATATATTTTACAAAATGATATTAGACAGCTGACCTAGGTTGAAACTGCCGACTCAACCATATCCAGCTGTTTCAGTAGCTGGTGTTCTCAGAACAGTTTTCCAAACAAACAAAAATTATCACTGACGACATTTGAGAGAAGAAAAGAAACTGTGACAAAGAGGTTATGTCAAAGTGACATTCTGAAATTGATAGAAAAGTAAAGTTATCGTTTAATTTGATTGTGTTAGTTCATCCCGTGGTCATTGTGTAGACCTACTATGGAGGGTGGTAGGACAAGTACTCTATATCTACGTTTACCTAACATAGGCCTATATAATGATTACTGAGAAAAACTGAGAAAAATAACTATGCCAAACTTAACATTAGTTCCATGTCAAAATGACATTTTGAAGTTGA